TATTTTGTCCGTTTGCTAATATTGTGTTGGGGTTACGGCCTTAGCAAAGACCGCGGGGAATTTATTCATATAACCGTTAGCAACGTCTTGTCACTTCTATGTTCAGTATTTTGTACTTTTCTTAATATAGGAAAATCCTTTATATTTCTGATGTTTTTTTTTTCTGCGATGATATTATGGAGTTATAAAACAAAACAAAAATATACATTTTTTCGACGGCGGGGCTACAAAACCATGTTTAGCGCAACTGTTTATTATCTAACAAAAATATTTACAGCACCATATAATACTGACGTTTTAATTTTAAGGCCATTCTTATCACTGTATACTTACAGTAAGATACAAAATCTCTTTTGTATCACTTACAGTAATATACATGGTCGGTAATCGTAATATAATCAATTAATCTCACTCACAATGAAACTGTTGCAAATTTCAATTGCTGCCAAACACACACGCCAAAGTGGACCCTAGTTGTATCAACTTATTAAGTACTTTTCTTGGAATTACCAAATTTCATCACATTATCTGGCGAAATATATACATATACGCACCTGCATGAGCAAAAATCACAGATTTAACTGATAATCACTTTAGTGTGTAATGTCGTATACAATCGTTAAATAACGCGAGAGTCATTACTCCCAAAATCATCCGATAAGTTTCACAACCAAAATCCCAGGCTCTTTGGCTACTCGATCACGGCTTCCTGGACTTCCTTCCTCTTGTGCGCCCCATCACAGTACGGCGGCTTGTTGGTCTGCTTGCACGTGCACAGGGAGTAGGTCTTCGTCGCCGGCGCTTTGAAGAATACCGGGGTCTGCTTGATCTTGAGACGCCAGCGGCTCCAAATGTGGGTTCCGTCGCAGAATGGCTGTGTGAAGAGGAGCGTTCTGCATTGAAGGCTGGTGCGTACGTATATGGTGCAGTAATTAAATATGCTAATGGCATTACTGATATCAATACAAAAAATAATAGCAATAATAATGGTATTATTATTGTTATCGTTTTCATGATTATCATTGACATCAACATCAACAGTAACATTAACATTATTATAATTATCATAATCATAATTACTATAACTATCATCATTCTTATAATTACAATAATGCGAAGAGGAAGGAGAAAAAAAAACACCAGTCACAATCATTATCAAAGAGCAATCAACTTCGACTGATATTCTGCTTCCTTCGATCCCTGGCCTCCCAGCCCCATCCCAACCCCTTACCTGGTTCTTGCTGTAGCCACAAGCGCACCAGAGATACCGCTTCCCTTCCTTGAGCTCGATTCTGACCGGGACTTTGGCTGCCACACGCCCCTTGTTCTTCCGCTCTGGAACTGCTTCACCGCCGCCCTCGCCTGCCTTCGCCTGGTTGACGGCGCCCTTGGGGAAGAAGGAGTACCGTGGGAGATGAAGGTGACTGATGACAGAATAAAATGTGTAATCATGCTCAAGAAGGTTCAAGTTGTTAAAAAAAAAAAAAAAAAATGTGAAGGTATAGATATTTATACATGCACTACATCTTCATCTACCGGAGAACAGCCTTTAAAACACTAGCATTATTACATCTTTATATATTACAAAAGTACGAATAGAAATAGAAATACATACTCATTATAAAACGTGCGAACATATATACACAAAGGATTAGAAATACACAAAAGCACTAAAATACAAAATATTAAAATGTAAGCGATTATTTAGACGTTATAAAGATTCACATTACTTCTGGTATTCAGACTAGAATGTTCTTGTTGACAATTCGCCACTGACAGCAATCGTAGAAGCAGACAATTCCGATAAGGCTAGCAGACAATACCAATGATACCAGTAATTTACTTATTAATTCCTTAATTTGCATATACACCGTAAATCACTTTGCGATCCGTAACGTTAATGAATACATGTGCTTACCCTTTTATCATGTTAAGACTTATTTCTCTGTTTAATTAGTTAAGAAAGAATTGTTTTTCTGCTCAGCCAACCACAACAATGTATTCTCTAATAATTGATGTGTCATCGTTTGCAAGGTCATCACGTCTTATTTCTGGCCTGCCCACATACCGGGAAAGGCATGATCTGCTTCATATGTAGAGTAAATATCGAATAACGTCTCTTACTGCATCATCAAATCATCTATGTAGAGCAACAGTCTTTCCGAAATGTATGACAATTAATAAACATCCTGTGCAAATATAAAAAAAATAACAATATCGAAACGTGTAACCCTACCTTGCCCAATACCAATTACAACAAAACGGGGACCAACACACAAAAATTACTTTACCGTTCGTTAACTTACCGTGAAAAGACACCGTCTACTTGCGACGAAGGGAATTCTAACCAAACTCCGCATAGAAGCCATGGTGTCCCCGCCTATGCCCGCCTATAATGCGACTGGGAGCTCGCACCTTATTTCAAAGTTTCCACCACAATGCGAGAGGAAGTTACCCTGGTGTTTACTCGCTCGTCTCTCTCGCCGTAGTGAAGTAGGTGACGTCTTTGTTTACAGTTTCGACACAGAAAACTTGAACCTTGAGACCCCAGACTATTCTAATCTCACAGCGTTTGGGGTCGGGGGTGTGTATTCAGATACGGAAAAAAAATTTGTCTGGTAGGAAAGGTGATCTGTCAGAATTGGAAGGGGTTATTATAGAATTACAGATCTTTTGTCAATGTCTCTTAAAATCAAAATACATCAAATAAAACGATAAATAACATGAGCCGTGGCATTTTATCTGCTAAAAAAAGAGAATGGTGAGGAGGAGGCTGTACAATTAGTTTTCGTTATCTACGATAGATTAGTCAAGGCTAATTCATGTACTGCCACATACGCAATACCTATACAACTCTTATTTAAAGTATGAAATACTGCTGTCGTTTGTAACACTATGAAGGTCGATTTCGCCATGGATTTCAAAAGGTTTCATGATTGCGTTGTTTATATTGTCATTTTACTGTACACAAAATTAGGCCCTTTGAAATCAATTCGCTGATGATGAAGACACTCATGGCTGTGACAGACGGAAGCTACTACTTTCCATTCTTTACGATTTTCTGCAGATGGCCTACGTCTTTAGGCCGTGCTTGAAATATTGATCCAGTTAAAAGCTTTCTACCGTCTTTTTATTCTATTATAATTTTTCCCATGGCCGTGTATTGCTCTTATTCGTTATTTAGACACATACAAAGATCTAAGTAATCCATTTTATTAGATTCATCTTACAGACAGTAGAAATAAAAAAATATGTCTCTTCAAGGTTTCCGCATATATTAAGCGTGATAAATATTCTGGACACGCTGGTTTGGTAGGAAATCAAGGATGAATAGATATTAGTTACTACCCGGCTAGTAATCTCTATATGTGAATGTAATTAGATTTAGACATTATTGTACATCGTCTGTAAATAGAATAATAAAGCAATGAAACTACATTTAAAAAATACCTTTGACAAATATTTTGACAAATAATCGGAGTTCCAGTTTCGAAATGAACTTTCACAATTCGTTTCGAAACCGAACATTATAATTCTACAACTGGTAATAAGTTGATACAACACAGGGAAGGGCGACGTTGACTGCCAGAAATATGTCTGTATGTTAGTAATTTTATTCTATGGTCGCATGCATGTGTGTATTTGTGTGAATGTGTGTGTGTGTGTGTGTGTGTGTGTGTGTGTGTGTGTGTGTGTGTGTGTGTGTGTGTGTGTGTGTGTGTGTGTGTGTGTGTGTGTGTGTGTGTGTGTGTGTGTGTGTGTGTGTGTGTGTGTGCGTGCGCGCTCGCGCATACACATATACAGAGAAACACATACATATGTGTGTTTGTACATATATGTATCTACTGTATATACACATACACATATATACACTCGCATATATATATATATATATATATATATATATATATATATATATATATATATATATATATATATATATATATATATATATATATATATATATATATATATATAGGCATATATGCCTTTTATCCTGTATCTGTATACAAGGCATGGACATGTGCAATAACATATTCCGTGCCACAGAAGTACTAGACTAAGCATTCATGCCGCGCCACCTGTTGAATGTAAGGGCAACCATGGTAGACTGCAGATGTCGCAAGACGGCAGATCTTTCCCGAAAGATTCCGTTGCTCTGTCTCATCGCCGCGACCTTGATTCCGGTGACGTCATATCAGCTGAGTCATGTTCACTGTTTACACTCGGAAGGACGAGAATATAATCCTGGTGGTTTGAACATCCCTTCATTTTGCACTGTCCTGTAAGAAAACTTTTAAATATGTTGCTCCGTTTTGTTTTTTATGGATAACAATTGAAAAATAGCTAGAATAAAAAAGAATGAAATACAATCTAGATGAATCATGCAAGGTAGAGAATATCGCAAAAATGATAAATCCCTTCTGTTCATCGGTGAAGATATATACGTGAATATACTCGTATGTTATGTATGAATAATGCAATATATGTATATGTATAATATGTATATATGTATTATATATATATATATATATATATATATATATATATATATATATATATATATATGCATGTATACATACACACTTTATATATAAATATATATATATATATATATATATATATATATATATATATATATATATATACAGACATATATACATACATATATACATAAACATAATATATATACATATATATACATACATATATGTGTCTATGTGTGTATATAGAAGTGTATAATATATGTATATATATATAATATATATATACATATATATATATATATATATACATTATATGTGTGGTGTGCGTGTGCGTGTGCGTGTGCGTGTGTGTGTGTGTGTGTGTGTGTGTGTGTGTGTGTGTGTGTGTGTGTGTGTGTGTGTGTGTGTATGATTTATATTTAAACACACACACACACACATAAGTTTGCTAAACTACACAATCTAATATAGATTTCCGATCAACTGCAAATCACACACAAACACACACACAAACAGACACGTACATATTCGCCAACGTTACACCTTCACAGAAGAACGACTACAACAAAGCCTAATAAATTATAGACCAGTTTCGTTAACACGTGCACATCAATTAGAAGAAAGTACTCTACACGGAGACGGGTAACTAGCGGAGTACCTCAAGGACCGGTGTTTGCGCCGATTACGTTTACTATTTTCATCAATGAGTTAGGGTAAAAAATAACCCCAGGTAGTTATGTTTGAAGACGACGCGAAATTACATAAAATGATAATAGACGTCTCATGCTAATCATGTGGTTGTACTTATAAAATGGAATTCAGCACCTACAAATGCCATGGAGTCAAGTTCAATAAAAACTAAATATAATATTAAACACTGTAGATTGGGAAAAAGACTTTGGAATAATCACAAACAAGAACTTAAGTTTAATTGATCATATAAATGAGAAGGTCCATAAAATGCAAAGGCTGACTGCCATCATGAAGTGGGCATTCGTGTGTATGGACGAAGAAATTGTAAAGATCATTACAACATTCATAAGACCTAATGTCAAGTACGACGCAATATTATGGAGTCCACGCATTAAATAAAAATATAAACAAACCGGCAAGAGTTCAAAGAGCAGCCACAAGGTGGGCACTTGCACCAAGACATATGTGTACAAAGATAAACTACAGAAAATGGGACTTACTACCTGAGATGAAAGAGGGGAAAGGGAGACATGATTAAGCTGTTCAACTATGTTCAGGAAGAGAGAAGTTAGATATTTAAAAAATCAGTTTCACAAACAAAACTATTGAAACATAGGACAATCTCCCAAAGAACGTGATATGCCAAAAATGCACATCAATTTATAAAGTTATACGAGAATTTAAATATAGCAGACGGTTAGACATATAAAACTACACATACATTTGGCGCTTATACTGGGTGGCAGAGGTGCGATTTTTATCCAACCTTGCGGCGCCATCTTTGATTGCTTTACGCCGTTGAGAGCGGTTTGCTGCATTATTCTCCCTAAGGTTTGGGGTTCGGCCACAGATATTCAGGGCTGCTTTCAGCGAATCTTTGTTGCGTTTGTATCCACTCCGACCTTTAGCCCTGGTGCAGTTCCCTGACAAGCGGCTGTTTTGTATTACGGTTTTCAGGCGTGCGAAACATACGGCCAGTCCATCTCAGTTGACTGCGTTTCCCTCCCAGAAAAGGTTAGGCCCGGAAACATGAAAAAGTAGCAAGAGTTAGGGTGAAGATTGCGGGATCCATAACGAGTTTCTGCGATTTGTTAAGATGCCGCGATTCCACTGGACAAAACCGATGGTTCTTTCCGTACTGGTTCCGGCCCACAGGAAATCGCTGGAGTTCAGTGAAATTTATGACTAGTCTTGTAGCACCCTACTTGGGGCTACTACGTTTGACGTCGTTTAAACGAAAGTAAATGCTAATGGTAAGTTACCTAAACCTTTGAATCATGGTATCAAATATCAAATAAAACATTTAATCGATAAAGTTGGTAGCCGCCACCACCTGGGGCACTCTTTTAAAAGGTCCAAGCTTCTTTTAATGAATGTCGTTTCCCAGTGAAAAGTTATAGGGGGAGACAAACTACTCACACACAAAATGAATAAATAAATAAAAATAATAATAATAATTCTATTCGCTGTTACAAACAAAAAAGGTGATTTATCAATATCACTATCCTTAAAACAGAATAAGATCTCTCTCGATGGACATGCTAAAATTTGAAGGGAAGGTTCAGTGGGTTTCAAACCACGTAATATTTGTTTTTATATGATGCTATGTACAATAAATAAATAAATAAAATCAAAACCTTAGTTCGATGATAACCTTATCTGTTTGCCCTCAATTTGGGCATTTTGCACCCGTAAAACTAGCTAGAAACGTTGTCTGATAAAAATGCGATTGCAGCGCACATGTCTGTGACGTCACATGATGCATACATAATCGTCAGTTTGCTCAAAACAAGGATTTCATTCATTCTTTTGTGCGGATATTGATCGGCTAATTCCTGAATGGAGGAGTGTTCTGAGAAGCCAAAAAAGCGTGTGAAAAACGGGGGCACTCGCTGTGCAGCTTTGGGATGTGACAAATCAAAACTGAAGGACGGAATTGGTGTTTTCATATTTCAATCCAGAGAAATATCGCCACAAAGACACGATTTTTGGTGCAATATGGCGAACCTTAAGAATGTGTGCTGATCACTTCGGCCGTTATCAGATCCGGAACTGGATGAAAATAAAAGTGATCCAGGAAGAGAAAGTAGATGAGGCTGCAAAAATCAAGTGGAGGTTGGTTCCAAAGACAAAACCTACTCCTGATCTTTTCCCAAAGAGACCAGCCCATGGTACGCCTGTTGATGCTGCCTCAGATAGTAACTGCATCTTGATTACAACTCCAAGATGGCAACCGTCTTCCAGAGGTGCTTCAAGACCTTGGGCAGCGAAAAAGGACAGGAGAATGGTAAGTGCAACCACCCCCAAATTGCTATGCCTA